GGGCGATACCTTCAGTTGAGCTGTTGGCCAGGATGGATAAAGGCTTTTCCAGACAGTAACCCAACATACTACAGGAAAAATGAACAGCAGACCCCAATTCTATCCAAAGGAATACTGACAATGGATTGCCTTAGATGAGGAACAGCTGATCCTCCTGGAACAGGGACCTCTGGCTGACTAGATTTACCAGAAGGGCAGACGGGGGAATGGATGAGGGTGCTGACAGCACAGTGGACAGTGACAGGGATGGCAGAGTATGGAGGCTCTAGTGGGAGAGGAAGGCTGTCTATCTGACGAGTTTGTAAAAAAAAAAAAAAGAAAAAAAAAAGAAAAAAAAAAGGTCTTATCATTGATGATGTGAACACTGCTTGAGTGCTGATGTGCTTACTAGGCTCTGTGCTAAAGCTTACAGTATTTTAAGTACTTGTTATATAATGACTTAGTTCAACAATGGATTACACAAATATCTTTATCTTCACTTTGCATTGTAAATATTTAACACTGTATTATTCAAATTTTATATCTGTTGAAAGGAGTATTACCAAAGTGGAATCACAAGTGTAAACGCTAGATCTTCTGAATTATATGCCAATATTAAATATCAATCACATTTCTATCTTGCCTTTATATCGACAAGTTAATTTCATTTGTCTGGGCTGAATTATGTAATTAAAATTTCATTTCTATTATAATTGTTTATATATGCACATAAATATGCAGGGTGCCAAACTTTGTGGTAGCTTAGTAATACTGTGTATTCCATTTTGTTTAAGATGAAACATTTCTAGGACTAGGGAGAGGGCTCCGTGGGTAACAGTGCTCCCAGTGCCATCACTATGATGTGAGTTTGAATCTCCAGCATCTACATGAAATGCTGGGAATCAGTCCGTGTGCTTACAACTCCAATATTGAGGGCCAAAGAGGCAGATCCTTCTGGAGGCTCACTGGCTAGCCAGCCTAACCAAAACAGCAAGCTTCTGATGCAGCAAGAGACCTTACTCATGGTAATAATGCAGAGAGGGATAGAGAAAGGCACTCAACGTCCTCCCCTGGTCTCTACATGTGTAAGTACAGGGGCATGCACCCATATAGTCGAGGGGGGGATTTTGCTTATATACACTGACAATAAGGAATCGTAATAAGAAGTAATTATTTCAGAAAGGGTATATATGAAATAAAACATTCCAAAAGCAAAGATTCAGGATTTCATAACTGGGCCATATGTTAGATGAGTGCTTCCTGAGACTTCCCTCTCTACACTCTGAGTTGGCCAGCTTACCAACACGGTTTTGCCATAGGAATACTTCATCCAGTCCTGGAAGGCTCCTTGGAGCACATTTAATGCTGCTTTGTGCAGGTGTGCTAACAAATAGTTCATGGAAACTCTACTTTTTAATTTTTTAATTACTAGTGCTTCCATTTCAACTTACACTGGATGGTTACTTTATATCACTTTCACTTCTAATGTGTGTATATTTAGATCATCAGTATAAAACACACAAAGAAGGAATTAAAACATTGTTTACTTGTTTGATATATTACCTACAACAATATAAAATGCTTTTCATTTTTAAGGAAGATCTTCAGGGGGCTGGAGAGATGGCTCAGCAGTTAAGAGCACTGACTGATCTTGCAGAGGACCTGGGTTTGAGTCGCAGCACCCACATGTCAGCTACAAACCATCCTTAACTCCAGTTCCAGGGGAATCTAATGCCCTCTTTTGACCTCCGTGGCATTGCATGACACGGTGCACTCAAATACATGCAGGCAATATGCTCATACACATTTAAAAAAAAAAAGAAGATCTCCAATGCCTACATAATGAATAAAAAATTATCCAAAATTATATCATTTTATTTTCTTAAATTTATTTTATTTTATGTGTATTAGTGTTTTGCCCACATGTTAAGTGCACCAATATGTGAAACACCTTTGGAGGCCAGAAGAAGTTGTCGGGTCCCCTGGAACTGAAGCTACAGACAGTTATTAGCTAGGAACTGAACCTGGGTTCTCTGCACCCAGGTGCTCTCAACCCGTGAGCCTACTCTCCATTCTCATGGCATAATTTATTCTCTATTTCAAATGTCTAAGAAGTCATGTCGGACTTACTATGTTTCAACTACTCTATCATAGTTTGTGAGAGTAACAACCATATGCTCCAACAATTTGCATTTTCAACTGCAAAAGAATTCACTTCCCCATTTTGAAAGAAAGAGTTTTCTGTTTAACTATTCATATAAAATTAATAGATACCATTTTCAATTGAAGCAAATCTGTGGATACTCAGGTTGGAGAGATGGCCAAGCAATTAACATTTGCTGTTCTTCCAGAGGACCAGGGTTCAATTCCCAGTACCCACATGGCAACAAACAACTGTCTGTAACTCCAGTTCCAGGAAATCTGACACCCTCTTCTGGCCTTCACAGCTTTGCATGGCATGGGTGCACTTACATACATGCAGGCAATACACTCAAACACATAAAATTAAAATAATAAAATATTAAAAATATTATAGTAGCATTGCTTTAAGAGATAACATGATTACATTGAAAATGATGTTATTTCGTTTTTAAAAATATCTTATTATTTTTATTTTATGTGTATGCATGGACTGCCTGCATGTAGGTAAGTGCACCTGTGTCATGCAATGCCTGAGGAGATCAGAAGAGGCCGTCGGATACCCTGGAACTGGAGTTACAGACAGTTGTTAGCTGCCATATGGGTGCTGGGATTCGAACCCGGGTCTCCTGAAAGAACAACCAGTGTTCTTAACCACTGAACCATCTCTCCAGCCCCCAATGATGCTATTTCTAACTGCTCACTTACAAACCTCTTGTAAGAGCTTGCCTGTCAACTCCTTTTTACAATACATTGCCCAAGTTGAATGTTTTTTCATGTAATGGCATTCTCACCAGCTATTTCTCTGTCTGAAATTTGCTGGAAAAGAGGCAGATAGTCTATGTATTCTGAAACAAAGGAAAAAATGTGTCAAGTTTTGAGGACATGCTATGCTAAGGCCCCAAGCTGACCTGAACACAATCCGGGCCCTGCATCTTATTCACTGAGCTCCAGCACAGCGTCTGCTCCGTTCCTCCAGTGTGTATTTCTGCGGCCTCTGGACTTTTGCTCTTGCTGCTCTATATATGGAATGTTTTTACCCCAGGTCTTTGCGTGTCTTCTCAGTTCACACACCACATCCACAGCAATGCCTCTGGCCCCATATTTCTCCAGTTACTTTCCAAATAACAGTTACTTGCCGATATCGCCAGCATCTCGGGTATGTATATTTTTCCCTTTACACCTGTCTCAAATGGAGGTATCTGTGCCCAAGAAGAATAGAACATTTGCTCTTTTTAATGTACCCTGGTGAACACAGTTGCCTGGCCAATACTGGAGATAAAATAATACTGTCAAATTTATTGAATGACTAACACTGATCTATTAAGAGCATGCACCTGCACTGGAAAGCGATTCTGTGCTGCCTGTGCCCTGGTCATTGAGAGTGCAGAGAGAGCATGCTCAAAGCTTTCTCTGGGTTTGGAAGACTCCTCTTGTGCTTACCAAATCCTGGTGCTTTCCCACATCTCACTTTCCCACATCTCATTTCTGCCTTTTAGAAGGAAAAACTACTTTTTGATTTAAGATTCAAATTTAGGAAATATGGTGTTGCTCTTTAATATTGACAATTCTCTATTTGGTCAACATTTACCTTGAAGAAGTTTGGAAAAAGAACAAATCAGCTTCCATATGCATTTGTAGAGAGCCCAGTGTCCTCAGCTCTGCAATTCGCCATACCAGGAATGAGTGAACCCATTCCAGTCAAACTCAGGAAATTCAACAGAGTTAACGGAGCCAACAGAACACCGTGAAGAGTCCATAATAGCTACTACACTCTTCACAAAAAAAGTCCAAAGTTATTAATGAGCTCAGTATTGTCAACTAGCTGATAAATTCGGTCCCCCACTCCTATCTCACTACTTTCACAACTTACTAAGTGGATGTTCAGTCTGTATGTTGCTCTGGCTAAAATAACATCCAGTTGGGCAGAGGCCCTCATTTATAAAGTAATCAGAGCAGAAGAAGAAGAGCAAGTGGGATATAAGAATGAGAATAGAATTATATTTACTACAGATCTAGGAGTTTGATAGAGGCTTGAGAATGATGGAAAGCTTTGCCAAGACTGAAGCTTTAGAACTTTCTGCTCTCCTTTGAGAACAGCATGTGCTAGAGGGTGGGGCACAGTGAGTTTATTGCCAGAGTTTTTCTCATGCTGTGCTCAATTTAGTTGCCATTGTTTGTGTTTGGGGGTTCATTTTGAGTCACATACTCCAGTACTGTTAAGTTGTGAGAACATCTATTAATATTTTGAATCTGTATTAGAGTTTCACTCCAAGCTATAATTTAGTTTCTCTAAGATCTTCTTAAAGTATGTTGAATACATAGGTGGGATTTAATTTTATAACAAATCCTCCTCTTTACATCTCCCCATACCAGCTTTTAAAACATTAATTTTTCAAACAAATGTTTATGCCTAGAATATTTAAAATGTATTGAACAATGGGAACAAAACAATAACAATCTTCGAAATGTACATTTTACCACTGTAGGAACTGGGGACATAGATATTGAATTAATATTCACCTAAAGTTTATCACTAATCCTTATGGGTAATTTTTGTTTGCTTTTCTGAAACAGAGGTTCACTCTGTAGCTTTGGCTGGCCTCAAATTTAAGATTCTTCTGCCTCAGCATCCCAAGTGCTGGGATTACAGGTATGTCTTACCATATTTGTTTCTTGTGAGTGAATAATATGTTCAGGTTCTTCAGTGACTGAATACGTAACCAATAAAGATGGTTCTTTTTTGTTATGAGAGTCTCATAAGTAACTATGCATATACTAAAAAGAATGTTTAGAAGAATGAGATCTTCCAGTTTAACAAAACTTCTTCCAATACTGTACCATTCATTCAAATGGAATTCAAGGTTATTTTCATCTGCTGGTACAGAAGTGTTAAAGAAATACATGCTTTAAAAATTATTATTTAACTTGTTGCAAAACTATTGTGTAATCAGATCATAAACTATAGATAAATAGATCCTCCTCGGATGGATTTTTATGGGCTAATTACACAAGAGTATTACAACTTGCTAAATAGTTTCTCAGACATTCTTCAGGCTTCACGATACAGCCACATCACATCAGCCATTCTCTAAGAGAGCTTCAACAGTTCCCACTTCCTGGTACTCTTCTGTCATTCTCTCTAAGAGTCAACCAGGTTGCTCTGTCTGTTCATTAGAATAGAAAGAGAGGGTGCTGTGTGGCTTAGCCTCATCTTCACATGTATTCATAGCTTTCACTTTGGGGACAGCATGGTACTACTTTACAGTTTTAGAAGAAGACAAGGGAAAAGAACCCAAGGCCTTCTTACAGTAGACCTAGCAAGGAACTGGAACCTGGGGCTAATGATCACAAAGTAAAGCATCTTGGAATTTGTAGCACAGTCAAGTATCTATGTAGTAGCAGTCCTCACTGGAAGAACCACAACGTCATGAAATAGTCTAAGCCAAAACCATCCCACTAATCCTTTCCTGGACTTTTTCTGTCTCTGAAATTCTGTGAAGTAACAGACGTTACGTTGTTTAAGACACCTTGGTACAAGTTGTCATGCAGCAATGGATGATTAGTGTATACATCCTCCTACATCTATCTATCATCTATCTATATATCATCTATATCTATCCATCAATCTATCAATCTATCAATCAATCTATCTATCTATCTATCTATCTATCTATGATCTATCTAATCTCCTTCTGTTAACATTGTTAACATCTTACCACAGCAAACATCAATTTGGTAAACACTGATTAAAGGTTATATTTAAAAACAAACTGTGTATGGATATAAAGTCATTGGGTAAATCTACCCAATGACTTTATATCCATACACAGGTGCCAAGGATCCAAGTGCAACTGACAATGACTAGTAATAATCAGATACATACAGATTAGAGACACATGTGTCAACATCTAAGCGTTATCAGCAAAAACAATGAGTATTTCTGTAAGAAACAGTATATTTTAAAATGCAATGGAGATCTTTTTTAAAGGTTAAAAAAATCATTCAATTTTATGTCTTACAGAGCTTATGCTGAGTTCAATATTGTATAACTGTATTAATTCAGAAGAGATGTATCTTTGCTCTGGAAATTGTTATTGAGTATGTTAAAGCTGTAATGAAATGCTTCTTCTAAAAATTTTTTTAAGTATATTATAAAATAAACTGTGTTTTGGACATTTCTTAAGGATGTGAATGAGTATAAAAAATTTCATTTGGAAAAACAATCAATGGTCCAATCCAGCCCTAAAGCCTAATAACCAAACTACCTCTATTGGTGTAGCAGTGGCACTGTTATCTGGGGGGAGTGGGGGTGGCAATCAACAGCTATCAAATTGGACCTAAAGCCCTCTCAATGGGAGTGAACTCATGGGTGGCATTGTCAACTCAGGCAAATACACATGGCAGTAAAGGACATAGATCCTAGAGAAAGCCCTATCTCTTTCATATCTCCAGACAAATAAAATTTCTTACTATATGCTAAATATCAATCCTTATATTTACAGACAAGCATACCATATAGCACTCATCAAAGAAGCTTCCTTTTGCAACAGATGGAGGCTACTTCAGAATTGCACATCTGGTTAGACACAGAGAACATATGTCTGAGAGATGCCCAGTAGATGACACATCTACAGCTGAACCTCTACAACTAAGTCTCATGGAACATAGTGAAACAAGGGGTAGAGAGAAGACTAATGCATCCCTCAACTCTCACCAGTAAAGCTTCCTTACACAACAGAGTGAGACACACACAGAAGGCCACAACTGGCCAAGTGTTACAGAATAAGAGGCTGAAAGTGTAGGATAGGACTCCTATATGGAACCTCATTCACCCAGGGCTCAGGGACCATTGAAGAAGAGGGAGCAGAAAGGTTGTAAAAGCCAGGGCTGGTTCATGAACACAGGGGAGCAGAGGATTTCAGGCCAGTGGAATCTTCCACATGTGAACCTGTGGCAATGGTGGCATCAAGCACAAGATCCATGTCAACTCAATTAAACAAGGGTCCAAAGGGAAGGAGAGAAATAGGCAGCAGGCCAGCACTAGACTGAGAACTACTGGAGACTGATTGCTGCTGGGTGAGTGAAGGAGAGTATGACTTAGATACAATCTCTAGATGGGCTGATTAGATGCCAGAGAATGAATTTACACTGAAGGACGTTTGGGTACAAATGCTTGAATGGATAGGATTTAACATGTATGGTGGAATACATGAGGTCTGGTGGAGGAATGGGGGAAGCATGGATGACGGAGGGGGTCTAAATTTGATTAAGAACTGTTCATTTTAAAAACTGGTTTTGAAGTTGCCCTTGTTATATTACTATACTTACTAACATATATATGTATGTATATATGTATGCTATGCATGCATATATATTTGTATACATTTCTAGAAAAAGCACATCTTTTGTAACAAAAGCAGATGACTTGTTGACTAAGATGGGGTAAAAGACTGTAAGGGGTAAGAGAACCCTTCTGAGGGCAGTGGGTGGGCTCATTACCTTGATTGTAGGTAGAAGCATATGTTAAAAGTCATCAGATTGCACACTTAAAATGTGCATACTCTGCTTTTCCATTATATATATATATATATATATATATATATGAAACTACTTTTATTCCACAAGAAGAGGAAAATAGCATGTTTACTTTCTAAACTCTTACTATTGCATAAATTCCCTAGTTTTCAAATTTCAGGTCTCAATGATGGTAGAGCATAAGAAATGGAGAGAACAACACATTTTCATCATATACAGTGCTCTGTCCATACATCATTGAAAGAGATATAACTTCTACTGTATTGGAAAATTTAACTCAAAGTGTAACTGAACAGTCAGATTTTTCCCAAACAAGTGACAGTTTATTATATGAAATACGCTGAAAATTATGAGGAGTGAATTCTCATTCCCATGTGTCTTGTAATATTGAGACAAGCAAATACTTCAAAGCAAAAGAAGTGGTCATGCCAATGATGAATAACTTTTTAAGTTCATGAAAAAGTTCATGACAGTCTCTCAAACTAGAAAGCATAAAGTTTTGGAAGACAATTCACTATTTATAAATCCTTTAGAATCCTGATAAATAAAAATTTAACTTTCACTTGCAACTATAATTTTCTAACTTTTCAATATACACTAAAGAAAAGTTACGGGGCTGGAGAGATGGCTCAGCGGTTAAGAGCACTGACTGCTCTTACAGAGGACCCGGCTTCAACTCCCAGCACCCATATGGCAGCTACAAATCATCCTTAACTCCAGTTCCAGAGGAATCCAAAGCCCTCTTCTGACCTCCGTGGCATTGCATGACACGGGTGCACTCACATATATGCAGGCAATACACTCATACACAAAAATAAAAACAATAAATAAAATTTTAAAAAAAGAAAAGTTACATAGATAAGGTCACCACATACACAGTTTGGTCATGTTAGAATCAAGGTTTATACATAATTATGGTATTATTTA